AAAAAAAAATTTTCTACCGAGCTTTATTTGCAAAAGTTTTCTTTAGGCACTAGCGACAATGATAACCAGGAATCGCTAATTGTACGTTCTCAGTTATTAGGCTAGCAAATAATAGGTACAGTTGACTACTGTACCAATAAATGCTTCGCGAGTGGAAAAAGATTCTTACAAATAAAATTCAATTTCCTGTTGGTAAGAACAAAAATTTATGACAGACAAAAAAAAATCTTTTATTATTTGAATAAAATAAAAAATAAACTGCTAACAAATAATTGCTGAACTTGAAATAAAAATCTATTTTTATTTACGGATACCGGAAGGTGCTGATTCGCGACCTGTATGGCGGGAGGCCTCTCGAGTTTCAAATTGCAAAAGCCGCGCTACAGAAATACAAGACGTTTGACTCAGCGAATAATGCGGATTATTTTAAAATGAAATAAATAGAATAAATTTAAAAAATTGGAATTTATTGATTATTTTAATGAAAACTCAATTGAGGAATTTACAGATTAAGAAAAATAAGTAGAATTTTAATTTTGGGAAAACAAAAGAATTTACTTTGGAATAATAAAGATTCAAATTTTAGGAAAACAGAAGTAAAAGGTAAAGCAAAGAAAAGAATTGAGAGCGAGTATATAAGAGAAGAGAAAAAAAAATATAATTTAGAAAAATAGAAAGTGGGAATATGGGAAAAGATTAGTTATTCCAAAACTAGAAGCAAAATTCTTAATCTTTTAACTAAAAACAGTGAGCATTTCATGTCCGAAATCCCACCGCTGCAACCAGTGTTCTTTATGTTATGTCCAATATTGTTATTATACGGTAGCAAGGTAACGGTGGAGGGTTGGACAAACAAATTAAAGAATACACAACGAAAGGGTTTAATTCTCGTTGTTTAATTATTTACTGTGGGAGCTTCCGAAAGACGAAATCCCACGCCTCCGTTAAAGATTAAGTATTTTACCAGAGAATATGATTCGATATTAATTTTCAGAATATTTAAATAAGTACTTACTACTTGTTGATTTGTTCCTTACTGCTACTGATCCTCTTTGGGCAGCTAAATAGCGCTCTCGAGTCTCGATGTATAGAGTTTGGGGACCGGGAGTTGATGAAAAAGGGCTGCTTTTTAATAAGGAATGACTCGAGATTTATTTACGTGTCGATTTATTTAAACAGCAGCAAATGAAGATGTTACACAGTCACAAGAGTTATATCACTTATTTATTATAATTATTTTTACGTCGTATAAACTAATAACGAAAAACATTATTATTATTTGCGGCTAACGTCCAACCAGTTCCCCGCAGGGAAAAGTGCGCGACTCACCAAATAGAAAATTTACTTATCTAATATTAATCGAAACAACCAAGTTAGCTTAAATGCAGAGCAGATTAAACTAAAGATTCTTTAACAATCAATGTTTAATTTTAATATTGGCTAGGCGCGTCTGACGGTAACCCGCGTCCAAACTTTCTTCAAGTGCGGTGCAAATTGAAGCAAAGGACTCTACAGAACACGGGCCTAGTTAAATCAAACGCGGAAGTCAAATTAATTTAAAGGCGATCAACGGCGTGAGCCACGCTTTTTAAAACCTCGCGCTGCATCGCTTGCAGAAATCCCCGCAGGTCAGCCGGCAGGCGCGTCCGTCCTAACTTTAATGTGGTTATCGCGCATAGAGGGATCTTCCATCACGCCCGGGAAAATAAAAAAAATTTAACTTGGGTGGACATAACAGAGAGTTGAACAAACAATCTGACAGTGAATTATGATCACAGCTTTTTAAGTTTCTGAAAGTCACTTTCTTACTCATCTGCTGCGGTTGCTTTTCTTTATATTGACATAGTAAATAATCATGGCCATCAACGAACGGGGAGTCTGATTTTGTGAAAGAGACTAACTTACTTGTACTGTTAATCAAGATGACGTCGAGCCAAGAATCACAGCCACTTTTATGGAATGTGGGGCTATAAGGCTCGCAGTATAGAGAGGACTCAGTTATGAACTCTCTTAAGTCGGCTGCCCAATTTCAAAACACAGTAACTAACATTTAAAAACTTTTTTCAATTTTTCTTATTAAAAAAAAGTTTGCCCGCCAAATTAATGACAAATTTGATTTATGAATAGTAAATACTCAGATATAAATATTTTTAAGAAAAAAATACTTCAAATTAAGGTTTAAAAGTTATAAAAAATGCAGCAATACTAAAAAAAAATCAGGTATTAAAATTTTGCAGTTACTGTGTCTTAAAATTGGGCAGCCGATGTGATTCGTAATATAAGAGCTCTCAAGAAGGTTGCAGTTCAAGTCCCCTGCTATGATGATATTCTTGAAGTTAGGCGCAAGCTTAGAGTATATATCAAAAAATTCAGTAAGAAACATACCTTTAGGTCGTCTTTAAATACATGATAGCAAGAGGTGAGAACTAGTGTATAGAGTTATATCGACTATCAGAAATTCAGGCTGGTTTAAATGGTCCGACGTTGAAATGTGCAATACTTTAACTTTAAATCATGACACTGTAAAGACTGGCCACAAACTATCGTTTGATACGATAATGATTAGCGGTTTATGCTTATCATTTTAAGAATTTGTGGTTTTACTATGAAAATATTGATTATATGAAAAATGTTAAAACAATTTTGATAGAAAATTAAATTTTCAATTATCTTTTTCATCAATTAATTTCTTGTATCCTTTCAAATGTTCAAATGATTGCAAATTTTGAAAATCATTATTTCAAAATTATGGCTTTCTAAATATATTTGAGGAAATATTATAAGAAACAATTCTTTCATAAGATTCAATTTTTAACATCTCATTATAAAGATTTCTTTACACAATTTATACTATCTCCGTCATATCCTATGTATTAAAATTGATGGTTGATTGAAGTTAGCTTAGTATCGAAATAACTTGAAACCATGGACCCTAATTCCTTATTGGTTCAGAATGAGAGCACGTGCTGATGTGTGCAAATTGAATTCCTAGTTAAAAATTAAACACCATTCATATTGAATAAGGCTTTTTCTGGAATTTTAAAACGAGGGGCTAAAATTTTTGATACTATGAAAACAATATTCGTTGTATAAAATCATGTTTAAATAATAAGTTATCAAAACTTTCATTTTCTAAAGAAATAATGTTCCTGATTAAATATCTTATTTGAAATGATTTTAAATTATTTCAAATAGTTTAAAAGCATATGATGTGGATATTTTATACATATATTTGATATGGAAGTAATGATTCCAAATCATACAACCATTTTCAAAGTATTATTATTTGGGTAAACGAAGCTGTGTGAATAATCCTTAAATAATCATGTATGGAATTCACTCACATTCCATGCTTGTAAGGGTGGACCCTAGGATCTCCGCCGTCCATCTTACGGCATAAAATAAATATTATTATTTTTAACGAAATTATTAATTTTAGTTAATTTTAATTCATTTTAATTGATTGTAATCAATTCAATGAATTTTAATTAATTTACAAACATGTATGGAATTCACTCACATTCCATGCTTGTAAAGGTGGACCCTAGGATCTCCGCCGTCCATCTTACAGCATAAATAAATATTATTTCTTTTTTAATATACTGCATGGATGCAGTAGAATATATAACTTTATTTGTTGCACAGCATTTTAGCAGTAAATACTCTTTTTATTTTATATAAAATTTTTAAAAATAAATCTAGCAAATTTTTTAATTAACTGATTAACTCACTTCTGTATATAATACTGCGTCAACGCAGAATGTAAGAATAAAAATCAAAATCATGAATAATATGCTAGTCTTCATTTTAATACACTGATAGAAAGATTTATTTGTATTGAATAATATTTCTTAATAGTTAGCAAATCATTTATTACAAACGACTTTTAAGTACTAAATAAATATTTCGTAGTATTTAAAATTGTTTATTTATATTTAATAAATCTGATATTCATTTATTAAACACTAATAAATCTTTTTAAATACTAAGAAATATTTGTTAAGGACTAAAAAGTGGTCTCTAATAAATGATTTGTTAAATATTAAAAATATTTTTGATTATAAACAAATCCTTCTATCATTATAATGACAGTTCAAAGAGATTCAATGATTAATAATAATTACTTGAAAAGTTTCCGGTTCAATATTCAATCGTACACGAATTCCTTCCCATTTTCTAATAAACGCAGCCTGATCGACTGCCATTTTTAAGCAATAAAACAATTAAATGAAAGCATTAAAGAAAAAAAATAGTTAATTTAATTAGCACAACCTGAGACGCTTACAACTACACTTATATGATTAAAGAAAAGAACAAATTTTATTGTTTGTAATAGTTGTCGACATTCATTTTTTTCTAAACAAATGAAAGCTTATCGAAGGGATTAGCGTAAAATTAAAAAAAAAATTAAATAAATTATATTATTACAATTTCTTTAATATTTGGAAAAATTGTTTCCTTCTAATAATTGATACATACAATTTATTTTTAAATTAACTAAATTAAATTATTTTTAAATTAATTTAATTTCATAAACTATCTACTATATTCTTCTGCCGCTAACTTGCTAGAAGCGACACCTAGTAATAGGTAATTCAAACATAGCATTACATAAACGGGGTATTTGTTAATCCTATTGAAACGTTTTATTTGATTTAGTTGTGAATACTGTTGGGACGCAATTTTGACCCTTATTCGCTGTGAAAAGGATCAAATAATCCGTCAGATGGCATTAAAATATACTATGGTGTAGAATGGAGACTATGACCACTAGTACCAACATCTAGTGAATTTTGTTGGGATACTTTCGGTACATAAAGGCTATAGTTGTTTAATGCTGATAGAGGTTACTTTTGTCGTTGCGGCTTGAATTTGTTTTTTAAAACAGTAAAACAGTTGCTTTATACCTAGTTTCACGATAAAATCCTAAAATGAAAATAAATTTTGATATTGGAGCGCATTACCACTCTTTTAAATATTTCAAAAAACACCTTTTAAGATATGAATATCAAACCGGATATAAATTTAATCAAGGTTCTTCAACAACAATTAAAAACTGTCACAAAAAGAAATTAGAAGGTGATCGTAAATTACAAGAAAAATTTGAATATTACTTTTTCCCATTCAAATGCGAATATTCTACGAAAAAATTACAGTCTCGAACGAAGTAAGTGATAAAATATTTTTTAATAATGCTATAGCATAATAATATATTATATTTTTTTAAACTACATTATAAAAATTATTAAAATAAATAAAAATATAACTGCTTACCTTAATTAACTATAATTTTTAAAATTTTTACATAAGATTTTTATATTAAAAAAAAATGTAATGGAAACAAAATTTTTTTAGAGACAAAAAACCGTGTGATGCCGGATTCAAAGTTCATTTTGTCCACCAAGATAAAGATCAGGATGAAGATCCATATTTGGAAATTTTTGATTATCGGAGTACACATAACCACAATGTTGAACCGGTAAGTTGTAAAATGACATTAGTGATGATATGTTGATTAAGGTGGCCCAAAAAAACCGACTATTTTTTTTTTGAGTCTCGAGTGATAAAATGTTAGTTTTTGATGTTTCAAGAGCCCTTTCTAAAAGACAGCTCAAAAAAAATTTTTAAGAGGTCACTCCAAATTTCAATTTTTTGAGCTGTCTTTTGCAGAGGGCTCTTAAATTCTTCAAAAACTAACATTTTTTCCTTCGAGACTCAAAAAAATAATAATCGGTTTTTTTGGGTCACCCTAATGTTGATATTAATATTTATGTTGACTTTAATATTTATGTAGTTTCATTGGCTGGAAGACAGTGACGACGATAGTGAAAAAGCAGGGAATAATGAAAAAAAATTAAAAAATTCCAAGTCAGTGCCGGCACGAAAGGACGAGGATGGGGAAAACATTGATGAGAATAATCGCCCACCAGCGGATCTGTTAACAGCAGTAGAACTTTTGCGCAAGGATGATGACCACAGTGGTGGTAGTGATAAAAATTCCTCAGAAAGTCGTAATTCTCGGATCACTCGTCAGAAAAAACATATTCAAATTAAAAACATACAAACTGTTCAAGTTTTGATCCACCGAAAAGATGAAGACGATGCTAGTGCAGCCATTGAAATGAAGCAATCAGCTGATAATTCATGCGAAAATCATGGTGTTCCACCTGATATTATACCACTTGCTGAAGATTTGACTGCTCAGAAAAAAAATACATTAGCCGATAATGAAGGAGATCCCAATTTGTTGGCTAATGAAAATGATGATAATAGTCGGGATACAGTAATATTACCTCAAAATCCCAACGAGAAATATATTGAAGATGACAAAAGCATACCCCGAGAAATTTTTCACCGTTCTGACTTAGAAAATCCGGCAGGAAATTGCAAAATTGATGGTGCTCCATTAAAGGATAGTACACATCACCAAGGCGAAGGAGCTACAACTGAAACAGCTACAGTTTCACCACGTGCACAAAATTTGGAAACAAAAAAAAAAACAAAACTGAGCAAACGTAAGAAAAAGCCGCTGTTCAGTGCACCAAAAAAACACCACGACGACATCGAGACATGGTATTGTCACGTTTGCACAAAGTGTAAGAGAGATAAAATGGTGACATGTTCAGTTTGTGACGAGTTTTGCCACGAAAAATGTTCAAAAAAAATAAATAGATCAACTAATATATGCGACATTTGCGACGACCAAGTACGAAAATAATAAAAATAATAATAAATAGTTTTATAAAGGAATATATGATCTTGTTGTCTTATGGACGTAATAAAATAATATTCACTTATGAGTTTGTATTTTTTTTTTTATTATATAAACCGAATACTCTTAGAAATTGAAATCTTTTACCATAGAAAAATACTGCATAATTGCAGTAGAGCAAAATTTTACAGTAAATGACCATATTACCATCAAAAATATATTTTTCTTTATCATTAAACAAGATTTAATCAATTGACACTGACCTAGATAACGGACAACTCATTGTGACATTCACAGAAGATAATTTATCTGCAATAAAATTGTTACAGCATTACTGCAGTACAGGATAAATTTATAATTGAGAAAATTTTGCTGTTAAATTTATTCCTTGAGTTATGAAATGCGATTTGATAAGTTTGCTACGATTAAAATATCGAAGATTTCCGGGAAATATTGATTGGTAACCAATTTTTCAATTAGAAAACGCATACTGCATAGTTACAGTAAAGATGGAAAATAAATATTAATTGAAATTTGAACCTTTAACTATCTTATCTAATGTGAAATACTACATAATTAAGCCATTATTACCAAAATAGTGTACTTCTAACCAAAAATTATTAGGAATGAGATTCCTTAACCATAAAATAGATACTGCATAAATGCAGTGGAGCAAAGTTTTACAGTTAAAGATATTTCTATCACCAATAATATTTTTCGTTACTATTGAACGTGATTGAATTGGTCGGTACTGACGCAAATAATATACAAGTCATTGTGATATTGACAGAAGATAAATTATCTGCAAGTAATAATTTTATTGCAGAAAAATTATTTTCTATCAATACCACGATGAATTTTTAATTACTCATGTCAGAAGCGACAATAAAATCGCTGTTAATAAGAAAGGAGAACATTTTCGATGGCAAAAGCTTTATTAACTGTAAAATGTTGCTCTACTGCAGTTATGCAGTATCGTTTTAATGCTAAAAAAAAATCAGTTTCTAACAATATTTGGTTAGAACTAAATTATTTTGCTAATGACGGCTTAATTGACTAGCAATTCACATTAAACAAGAAAGCTAAATGTTCAGATTTCTATTAACATTTATTATTCATATTTACTGCAACTATCCAGTATTGATTTTTTAATTAAAATATTTATTTCCTATAAATACTTACTAAAAATCTTTGATATTTAAATCGTAGCAAACTGATTAAATCGCGTTTCACAAAAAAAGAAAAAAATTTGACATCACAATGTCCTCACTAATAAAATTTAGCTCTACAGCAGCGATGCAGTAACACTTTAATTGCAGATAAAGTTATTTTCTATAAATTGCATAATAAGTTTTTAATTACTTACGTCAGTGGTGAACAGTAGGATTGCTTTTAATAAGAAAAAAAAATGTTTTCGGTGGCAAGAGTTTTATTAACTGTAAATTATTGCTCTACTGCAGTTATGCAGTATCTCTTTTATGGTCAAAAAAAAAAGGTTTCTAACAACATTTGGTTAGAATTACGTTATCTTAGTAATGACGATTTAATTTACTTGCAATTCACATTGGATAAGGAAGATGAATGTTCAAATGTCCATTAATATTTATTTTCCATCTTTACTGCAGCTATGCAGTATCCATTTTTTAATTAATATATTTATTTTTTATCAATACTTAGTGGAAATCTTCGATATTTGAGTCGTAGCGAAGTGATTAAATCGCTGTCCATAATGAAAGGAATAAATTTGACAGCAAATTGTCCTCATTACATAAATTTTGCTATACTGCAGTGATGCAGTAACAATTTAATTGCAAATAAAATTATTTTCTATAAATTCAATGATGAATTTTTAATCAGTTACGTCATAACGACCGATAAAATCGGTTTTAATAAGAAAGAAAAATATTTTTGACGGCAACAGTTTTATCAACTGTTAAATTTTGCTCTACTGCAGTTGCAGTATCTTTTTTATGATTAAAAAAATTGATTTCTAACGACATTTGGTGAGAACTACATTACTTTGATAATGACAGCTTAATTTCTTAGCTATTTATATTCGACAATAAATTTATATGTTCAGATTTCTATCAAAATTTATTTTTCACCTTTACTGCAACTATGCAGTATGCATTTTTTAATTAAAAAATTGATTACCAATCAATATTTTCCAGAAATCTTTGATATTCGAATTGTAGCAAACATTAAATAGCTTATCATGAGGAAAGAAATAAATAACTGCAGAATGTCCTCACTAGTAAAATTTTGCTCTACTGCAGTTATGCAGTAACTCTTTTATGGCCGAAAAAATCGGTTTCTAACAATATTTGGTTAGAATTACGTTATTTTTGTAATGACGGCTGAATTTACTGGCAATTTTTATTATATAATAGTTATATGTTCAGATTTCCATTTACATTTATTTTCCATCTTTACTGCAGCTATGCAGTATTCAATTTTTAATTAAAATCTTCAATTCCTATCAATAATTACTGGAAATCTTTGAAATTTATATCGTAACAAACTAATTAAATCGCTTTTTATAATGAAAAAAATAAATTTGACACCAAAATGTCTTCACTACCAAAATTTTGCTCTACTGCAGTGATGCAGAAAAAATTTAATTGCAATTAAAATAATTTTCTATAAATTCCATGATAAATTATTAGTTACTCACGTCATTACAACCAATAAAATTGATTTTAATAAGAAAGAAAAATATTTTCGACGGTAAAGCTTTATTAACTGTAAAATGTTGCTCTACTGCAGTTTAGCAGTATCTATTTTATTGTCGAAAAATTCGGCTTCTAACAACATTTGGTTAGAACTACGTTATTTTGTTAATGATGGCTCAAATTATTAGCAATTTTTATTAGACATTAAAGTTGTATGTTAAGATTTCCATTAACATTTATTTTTAATCCTTACTGCAACTATGCCGTATTGAATTTTTAATTAAAATATTAGTTTACTATCAATACCTTCTGAAAATCTTCGATATTCAAGTCGTAACGAAGTGATTGAATCGCTGTCCATAATGAAAGAAATAAATTTGACAGCAAATTGTCCTCATTACTAAAATTTTGCTATACTGCAGTGATGCAGTAACAATTTAATTGCAAATAAAATTATTTTCTATAAATTCCATGATAAATTTTCAACTACTCACGTCATATCGACTGATAAAATCGCTTTTATTAAGAAAGAAAAATATTTTTGACAGCAACAGTTTTATCAACTGTAAAATTTTGCTCTTCTGCAGTTGCAGTATCTTTTTTGTGATCAAAGAAATCGACTTCTAACAACATTTATTAAGAATTACATTACTTTGGTAATGACAGCTTAATTTTCTAGCGATTTATATTAGACAATAAATTTATATGTTCAGATTTCTATTAACATTTATTCTTCACCTTTACTGCAACTTTGCAGTATGCATCTTTTAATTAAAAAATTGGTTACCAACTTATTTTTTTTCAGAAATCTTCAATATTTAAATAGTAGCACAGTCATTAAATAGCTCATTATGAAGAAAGAAATAAATTTGACAGCAGAATGTCCTCGCTAGTAAAATTTTGCTCTACTGCAGTTATGCATTAACTCTTTTATGGCCAAAAAAATCGGTTTCTAAGAACATTTGGTTAGAATTACGTTATTTTTGTAATGACGGTGTAACAATACTTTTCCCAAAATTTTAAACAAAATTTTACCGGTGGCGGAGATACCGGCTGGGTAGAGTATTTACGCTCGCCCTTTTTAAATACGTAATAAAAATAATAAAAGTAACCCGGAAACTCCTCAGGCTGGGTTAGTGCACGATAGGACGCCAGGTAATTTTATCTAAAAATTACCAAAATAATTCAAAATTCCAGGGGCTGCCCCGGACGATCAATTAACAATTTAAATTTAAATGTGAATGGAAAAGTAAACCACAAAATAATCAAAGTTGAGATTAAGACTGAATTTACATTTAGAAATAATAACTAATTAATCGTAAATTAGTATTTTATATTAACTAGCTGAAGTAGGAAGATGAGTTGCAGGAGAAGAATTTAGGAATTAATTTACATAAAATAATTCACTAATGAATCAGCAAATATAAAAAAATAAACAAACAATTTATTCAAAACGAAGTTGCTTAAAACTAAATCCATTTTATAAATAATAAATTAAATCCTTCATGGAATTTTTGATTAATATATATATAACTTTTTCTTCAACTTATTTACAATATTGCGTTCGAGAATAACAATAGCCGCAATGAAAAATAATAATCTTAACAACAATCATAATATAAGTTGCGTTCAAAAATAATACTCGCAATAATAATTAATGATGACGTAATATCTTAATTAAGCGATTACTGGCCAATTCAGGGACCCACACGCGGCTTTCGGGACAGGTATATATTCTATCGTGATACCCCTTACTCGCTACGGAATCAACCCGATAAATCGATAATGATTTTAATAATAATAAACAAATAAATTACTCAAGCCAGGAGACAGCGGTGCGGTACGGTTAACGAAATGGCTCACTTGTGAGTACTCACCAGAAAAAGGAAACTCGAACAAAGGTGCCAGATCCACACACTTACACTCTGCAGGCTACCGCGTGTCTTCCACACACTAAGCGGGCTCCCGCGTGTCTAGTTAATTTTTGTCACCATAAATCGTACGAGGCCTCGTGTTCGACCACGAGGGCCTCTTTAGCCACTTTCCCAAATTAAATAAATGTCAAAATTAATACTTAATAACTAATAATCATAATATATAATTTTTCAAATATAATAATAATAAAGAATATGCAATATATAAATTCACATAAAAATATTAAAATTATGGGACACCGAGTGTGGATCTGTTGCCAACACTAGGCGCAGGGAGGGACGCACACAGGAATAAAATTCGTGTGACAACGGCTTAATTAACTGGCAATTTTTATTAGACAATAAAGTTGTATGTTCAGATTTCCATTAACATCTATTCTTAATCCTTACTGCAACTATG